GTACTGAAGTACTTTTGAAAATACTTAAGTATTCAAAAGTACATGCATTTAAAAGTACTCAAGTATTCTATAGTACAAATTAAATTTTCTGATATTACACTGCTGTATTGTTTTCAGAGTGTTTTTACAGAACCTTGTAACACAGAAACTACCTGATGTACTGACACATAGAACAACTCTGCTACAAAATCTACACCACCTGTAAAGACTTTAGCCTAAAAATGCAATAACGTGAATGGTGACTTCTTAAATGCAAAAATGTAGTTTATCCATAGTGAYCTCAACACGTTTAAACTGATAGGAACTATTTTTCAGCCCTAAAATCTCAAACATGGAGCTGAGATATGATCATGAGTGCTGGTTTCTCTCTCTTCAATTGTCTCCATTGCTGGGTTATGTTTGAGCTCAGCTCACCACTGCTAATGAAGATGACGTAWTTCCAAATCTATCCTTGATGTGAGCTATGACTGTGATTGTTTCCCCTTGTGAGGAACATAGTGTGGCATTTCAAGAAAAACAGCAACAGCTGATTACAAAACTATGCTAAACCAAAATTAACAAGTAACTAAAAGCTTCCTACAAATGTAGTGGAGTAAAAAGTACAGTATTTGCCTTTAAAATGTAGTGGAGTGAAAGCCAAAAGTACCCCCAAAAATAATTACTCAAGTAAAGTAAAGATACACAAGAAATGTAATTAAATACAGTACTCAAGTAAATGTACTCCACTACTGTCCACCAATGCTCAATGCTCCTCTCTGCTTCAAATATGATGAATATTTAAAGAAAAAGTTATGTAATTTATTTTTCATAACTCCAGTTTTACTTGGTCTATCAACATAATTTAAAAATTGATGTATAGTCTGTACTTTTATACAATTTGGAACAGGTTTATACAAATAGCACTAGAGTGATTTTAAATTGGTCATGTGACTAGGGCATGCAGTTGTCCAGGGACCCCAGGGGATTATTCGTCATATTAATCGTTATCAGCCAAATACCACAATTGTGTTAATTTTTTTTGCCATTACTNAAAGGTAAATCAGTTTTTTTTCACATAAGAACAAACATTCTCAGCAGTATACTTTTCACATTATGTTGACTCTCAACCAAACAACTTGATTTTCAGCTGCTGTATTTTTGCATTTAGTTTGTGTCCATCCAGATTCATTATGATCTTCTGACAGAACTCAAAGGTGTACTTAAGGTTATCTGGATAGTTCAAATCCAGAGCATAAATGAGTCCAAACAGCATAATGAAAGCCATCATCACACTGTCTATGTTCTGAAGGACTTTCCTCCCTTCAATCACAATTCCGACATCCTTTGGCTCATCTTCTCCATGGCTTACAACTGTGTAAACTCCCATAACAGTTGCTGCAATGTCTCTCTCAGCATCCTCAGTGGCAGATTCCTTAACAAAACACAACAGAAGAGTCATGTTTAAAAAGGTTGAATCCTAAAAAATGTTTTGAGAACATATATAAAAAAGGCACAGTTCATGAAGTGTCAGAATATCAGCATCTCACTTTCTACAAATAATTAAAAACCCATCTTATTTGTCTCACCATAATCCCAAAATGAGCTAAACCCTTACAATTTCCCATAATAAAGTAAGAGCACATAACACATTAGATGTTGTTTCCATAGTTGTTGTTCCATTGCTCTATTTTAGGGCCACATAGAAGATTGTTTGTCATGCACTTAGCCTCAACATCATTGTCCTGTGCTCTCCGAGGCAAAAATAAAGTCATTAGTTTCTATGAAAACAGCAGAACTTATACCAATTATTTATATCACTGGATTGGGRGTCACATGAACTGGGCGTGCTTCGTAAGGGAAATTTTTAAGCATTGAGCTAATGCTAACTATTGAAAATCGATTTGCAGAACATAGCACGGTGCAAACAAATTCATAATAAATGTACAAATTGCACAAATACTTTGCTATAAACTACATAAATTGTTACAAGTTTTCAAGCGCAAAAGATATTAGGTTTCACAGGTAAATATTACACATATTTAACCAAAATTAAAAATGACTGATTTTAACTGCAAATGCTAACATTTAAGAAGCTTCAGTGCTCTTGTTTAAACTTATTTAAAATCGGTTTTATCAGCTGTCAAATATATTAGTTACTTAGACTGCATAATAATTCAGATGTGATGACGTAGACTCGCTAATGACAGTTACAGTAATGTAATGATTGAGCATCATAATACAGCTCTTGTAAAGTTTTTATACAGGCCAGTTTATTCAGATAGTTTTCTACACCCAATATGTGTGCTTTTCCACATTTACACACAAACATTCAAGTATTATTTCTTAATAATTTGAACACGTAGGTAATGATCACGCTTTATTTTTTTTTAATCTATGAATCTAGCAAGCTGAACAACAATTTTTTGTAATAAAAATTAATTCATTAAACAATTATTTGTGACCTGACATAATTTGTCTTTTGTTGTTGTTGTTTTTTGCTAATGTGTAAAAATATTGTAGTTTAGTTTACAGAAAAAAAATTGTGAAGTAAAGCTAACATGACAAATTTTTACAGGATGACGCCTCACAATCCACTGACCCCTATAAATTTTGTTGACGCTCTTCAGTGCATAACAGAGCTCCAGTGTGTGCACGAGTGTAGCTAGCAAAGCGCTAGCCATGCGTAATCCAGTAATGTAAATCACTGACCTACTCCACTCCTAATCTTACTCTTCTCGACTTTGATCCCAGAGGGAAGAGGATGGTCATGGTTGTCCACAATATTCTTGTGTTTAAATTGAATTGTGAATAATAAAAAACAAGTTTTACCCTGCTTTACAAACAATATCAATTAAATACAAAGTTATCAGATCAAGGATTGTTGTTTCCACTGAATTCTATTAGGATACAATAATACCACTTTAATACAGTGGCTTGTAAAAGTATTCATAACCCTTGAACTTTTTCCATATTTTGTCACATTAAAACCTCAAACAAACATATTTCCTTGGAATTTAACGCAAAAGACCCACACAAAGTGGCATACAATTGTGAAGTGGAAAGAAAATTATACAAGATTCAAAACATTTTTTAAGAAATAAAAACTGAAAAGTGCAGTGTGCAAAACTATCCCTCCCCACAGTTACAGCTGCAAGTCTTTTAAGGTATGTGTCCAGCAGTGTTGCACATCTAGAGACTGAAATATTTGTCCATTCTTCTTTCTAAAACAGCTCAAGCTCAGTCAGATTAGATGGAGAGTGTTTGTGAACAGCAGTTTTCAGATCTGGGTTTAGGTCTAGACTTTGGCTGACCATTCAAACACATGATGAATATGTTTTGTTTGAAACCACTCCATTGTAGCCCTGGTTTTATGTTTAGGGTTGTTGTCTTGCAGAAATTTGAACCTCTGTCCCAGTCTTAAGTCTTTTGAAGACTCTAACAGGTTTTCTTCCAAGATTGCCCTTTATTTGGTTCCATCCATCTTCCCATTAACTCTGACCATCTAACCTGTCTCAGCCCCAGAGCATGATACTGCTACCACCATGTTTGACAGTGGGGATGGTGTGTTCAGAGTGATGTGCAGTGTTCATTCTCTGCCACACATAGCATTTTGCATTTTGCCCAAAATGTTCAATTTTAGTCTCATCTAGTCATTAGCAGTCATTAGGCAACTTCTCAATGCAATTGGTTGCACTCAGAGAAAAGGGGGCTGAATACTTTTGCAAACTGCACTTTTCAGTTTATTTGTAAAAAAAAGTTTATTGTTTATAATTTTCTTTCCACTTCGCAATT